GGTGGGCCACCGCCGTGCCGTGCCGTGCCGTGCCACCGGTGTCCCTCCCCGGTCCCCCGTCCCCTCGCCGTCACCTACGTTGCCCCCCGCCTGGCCGCTGCCGGAGAAGATGGTGGTGAAGCCTTTGCTCTGCGGCGTCGGTTTGAGGCTCTTCCCGGCCTTGATCTCAGCCAGAAGCTCCGAGTTGTCGCCGGTGGGGGACATCATGTTGAAGGACTTGGTGCCTGAGGGGGGGCAGGGTGGGCAGTGAGAGCCCCGCTGGTGGTAGACCCCCTCCAACCCCACCAGCTCACGGGCTGTGGGGGGGGACAGGGGGGCTGACTGATTCCCCCCACACCTGGGACCCCTTGGGGTTCGGGTCGCAGCAGCATCCTGGTGCCCAACTCCCCAGGTCCATGGGACCCCTGGCACCCCATCCCCTGGGTCCATGGGGGGCACCCACACTCTGTCACCCAGCTCCCCGGGTCCGTGGGACCCCACAGGAGTGACACCCCAACACTCAGCAGGCTGGCACCCAGCTCCATGGGACCAGCATCCCAACACCCAGCTTACTGGACTGTGCTGGAGCAGCCCCCCAGGTCCTGAGTGCCACCCCCCTGGTCCTGAGTGCCACCCTCCCCTGCAGCACCGTGCTGTGACAGCAAGGATGGGTCCGTAGCCGGCAGCAGCACAGCAGGACACCCCCCTGCCACCCCCACAGGAGCCCTAAACCCACTCTGCTCCCCCGCAGCCCCCAGAAGTGACGCACGGACACCCCGAATCAGCCCCACCGCCAGCCCTGACCCCGGGGGGCTGCATGGGCACCACCACCGGGACACAGCAGAGCCCCCCGGGGGGTGCCCTCACCGCCCACCCCGTGAGCACCCACCGTCCGTGCCAGCCATGTGCAGGTCCCTAAAGGCCCATGGCGCCGCGCCGAGGCAGAGCCCCCTCCCCGCTGCCCGCAGCTCGCCCCGCTCAGGGCCAGAGGGCTGCGGGTACTGAGGGCCCAGCGGGGCTCTCCTGCTGCCATCCAGCTCCGGCTGAGCCCCCCCCCGGGCCCCGAGAGCCGGCGTTAATAAAGCGGGGGCCGAGAGGCAGCCAAACCCGCCGGCTGCAATCCGCGGCGGGGGAGCGGCCGGTGCGCTCACGTGGCGGGGTCACGCCGGCCGGCTGAGCCCAGACAAAGGCCCTTCTGTGCTCTGGGGCTACGGGGGGGCGTGGGTGTCCCCCCCCTCACCACCGGCTCCCTGCCCGGTGTGGCCTCGGCATCCCTGTGCCAGCCCTCGGCCGCCCGCATGGCACGCTGGTGCGGCGACGCGGCCCCGAGGGCTGGGCGGGAAGCAAGGCCGCGGGCATCTGGTGGCCCACGGTGGCTCTTGGTGGCCCAAGTTGGGCCCAAGTGGCTGAGCCCTGCGTTCAGGGCACCCCCCCCGGGGCGCAGGGCTGCGGTACTTACTCTTCATCTGCCTGAGCGCCTTTCCTCCTAGGGGGAGAAGCAGAGAGGCGGCGCAGGGCGCGCGGCAGAGGAAGGATTTGGACACCGCGAGACAAGAGAGAAGAGAAGCGGCCAGCAGTGAGAGCAGGCGGGGGCGGGCGGGCGTAGGGGCCCCCGCGCCGACACCGAAGGAGAGAAGGACAGAAAGGCTGTCAGGAGCCAGGGAGGAGACGCGCCCAGGCGGCGGGTGCTGCGCTGCAGCCGTGGGGACAGTGCCCAGGATGGCTCCCCATGCCCAGGATGGCTCCCCGTGCCCACCCAGCGCCCTGCCACTTACTTCCCGTGGAGGAGGAGGAGCGGCGGGGGCCGGCGGGGGTCTCAGCCGGAGGGGGTGGCGGTGGGGGCGGTGGGCAGGCGGCAGGTGGGGGCGGTGGGGGTGGCGGCAGCTCGGGGCCAGGCTTGCTCTCCCCGTTGCGCATGGTGTCGGCCGAGATGGGTGATGCCTGAAAGAGAGCACGGGCAGGCGTCGCCTGGTGCCATGTGCCGGTGCCGGTGCCATGTGCTGGTGCCGGTGGTGGTGTCACACGCGGGGCCGGGGGGGCTCATCACCTCCTCGCTGTGTGCCATCCGCCGGGGGCCAGGCTGCTCAGCCGCGCCGTGCCCCAGGTGCTTGTAGTAGTCACCGGTGCTGGGCTGCTTGCCGAAATTCCTCGACCGCCGCGTGGAGTCGGCCCGGCGCAGGCCCTCGGGGCTGCTCTCCCGCGATGCCAGCTGCAACGGGGAGCGTGGCTCAGGGCAGCCCTGCCCGGTTCTGACCACAGTGGCCGTGGGGCAGGGCCAGTGGTGGCCGTGGGGGCAGATGCCAGGCTGAGGGGATGGCAGGCCCCAGGAGCCCGCTGGGCACAAGGCTGCACGGGGGTCTACGTGCCAGGGTGGCAGCATGTGCCCCCAGCGCCTGGCACTGCCACCGGGAGCGTGGCTCAGGGCAGCCCTGCCCGGTGCTGACCACAGTGACCGTGGGGCAGGGCCAGTGGTGGCTGTGGGGGCAGATGCCAGGCTGAGGGGACGACAGGCCCCAGGAGTTTGGGCGCCTGGCACTGCCACCCCATAGCCTGTGCCCAGGAGCCCGGCCGAGCCTCCCCTGGGATAACCCCCTGGGAACAGGAGTGCCGAGCCCCGGCCCCACGGATTACCGGGAGCTTATCCTCCGCGGGGCCGGGGCACGGTGCCAACCCTCCCTCTGAACGGGGCTCTCAGGCAGCGCAGCCTCAGCTCACCCCGCCACATACCGCAGCGGCTTTGCGGTGGTGCTGCCCAGCGCTGGCACTGCAGGGGGGCCATGCCCGCTGCCCGGGGGGGTTTGGGGTGCCGCGGCGGCATTTTGCGGTGGTGCTGCCCAGCGCTGGCACTGCAGGGGGCCATGCCCGCTGCCTGGGGATGTTTGGGGTGCCGCGGCAGCACGGCCCCGCTCCCCGGTGCTGGGAGGGGGGGGGGCCCCCCGTTATTTGCATTTCTCCCTGCGCCACCTCCGCCCGTGGCATTTGCACGGTGAGCCCGGGCCATCGCTGCCACCGCCGCCAGCCCCAGCTAAGTCAACAAGTGCCAGCTCGTCGCTTCCTGCTCCGGCTGCCGCGGGCGCCGTGCCAAGCCTGGCTCCCGTCCTGCCAGCCCCAGCCCCGGGGCCAGTGTGAGGGTCCATCCCGCTCAACCCCATGGCATGGGGAGCCCGCATCGCTCTGGCACTGCTTTGGCACTGCTTTGGCACCAGGTTGGCACATGGCTGCACCTCCCCAGGGCAGCCCGAATCTGTACCCCCAGGGCAGGGCTGCTCGTTACCCTGGTAAGCGCTAACGAGCCATGCAAAACAAACACCACAGAGTGCCCAGCCCTACATGGGCCTGGCTCACACTGCTCCCCCAGACCCTCAACCCATGTGCCCCTTGTCCCCTGCCATGCTGGGCTCTGCCAGTGCCCTGGCCATGGCTGCACCCCGGTCTCCCATCTCCGGTGGGGTGGCAAAGAGCCATGGTAAGGGGTCGGGGTGACCCTGAGCCCACCGCATCCCTATGCCCGCCCCGGGGGGCTGCACCCCTCTTACCTGTGCACGCCTGGCTGAGCCCTCTCAGCTGCTGGCAGCACCGGCTGTGCCACCCGACACCCGCCGCACCGGCGACACCGGAGCCGCCCGCTCGGGTTACAGCCCGCGCAGCCGCCCACGCCCCGCTCGGCGCGGTGCCGGCGGTGTCGCCGGGCTGACGTGGGTGCGGCTACCATGGCTGGCCACACGCTGGCCCGCTGGGTGCCACCCGGTGCCATTGAGGCACCAGAGCATCACCAGCCTTGGCTGGCTGTGCCCTCACGCCGGCCGGTTATACCCGTCCCCCCGGTGCGTGCCAGCGTCAACGGGTGGCCTCACGCCAGAGCTGTGCCCTCTTGGTGCTGTTGAGGGCTACCAGCTCCCCATGGGGGGGTGCCCGGTGGCTTGTCCCCCCCCCCAGATGGCAGGTGGCCCTCGCCTGCCGGCCCCCGGCCCCGTGGCCGCGTCTCGGGGTCCAGCATGTCCATGTAGGCCTGCATGTCCGCCAGCGCCGGCTCCGGCACCCCTGCACAGGGCAGGGGGTCAGGGGGGGCGAGCCCCACGCTGGCCCCCCCGCTACCCCGTGCCCCCCAGCCCCGCACTCACGAGCGGCGGGGGCCCCCGGGGGGCCGCCCCTCTTCTCCCCGGTGCTGGACTGGCTGGAGTGGCAGGAGTCGTAGTTGGAGAGGGTGCTGGCAGGGGAGCCCACCTCGAAGCGTGCCTGGGGCGCCGACGCCGTGGTGTTGGGTGATGACATGCCCGAGTCGGGCTGCCGGCACTCCCCGTCCGCCGAGGGGTCTCGCGACAGCACGCGGTGCTCCACGCTCTGCCGGCACAGCGTGTGGTCAGGTTGTGGGGACACGAGTGCTCCCCACGTTCTCCCCACGCCACCACCATACCATGTTCTCCACGGTGCGCAGGTACTGGGCGCAGTGGCCATGGCCATTGTAGTCGGCCAGATCGGCCGCCGTGTAGCCGTCCTGGTCGCGGATGCTGAGGTCGGCGCCGTTCACCACCAGGATCTGGCAGCACTGGAGAGAGGAGGGGGAGCCTGGCAGGGCTGGAGGGTGGCCCCCTCCGTGCCCTGACGCCCCACCAGCCATCGGTACCCACCTCCAGCTCGCCGTTCTCAGCGGCGTCGTGCAGCGGCGTGCCGCCCCAGCTGTCGGTGGTGATCTCCCCGCCGTGCAGCAGCAGCCAGCTCAGCACCTTGGCGTGGCCACGGCTGGCGGCGAAGTGCATGGCAGTGGCCCCTTCGGCATCCCGCTCCGACAGGCTCACCGTCGTGAAGCTCATCTGTGATGGGGGGCATGGCCTGAGTGCCGGCACTGCCAACCCCGTGCCATGCCGCCACGCCGAGCCCCCACGCCAGAGCTTACCAGCCAGACGATGACGGTGTTGTGGCCCATCTGGGCGGCGGCGTGCAGGGGGGTCATGCCGTCGTGGGCCCGCGCGTGGGGGTCAGCCCCGCAGTCCTGCACCAGGTACTGGATGATCTCCAGGTGGCCCTCCTGGCAGGCGAGGTACAACGGGGTGGCCCCCGTCTTGGTCTGGGCACTCAGCGTGCTGCAAACGGGGCACAGCGCCTGTCACCCGCGGCCACCGCCGCCCTCAGCGTGCCAGGATGGATGGGCAAAGGGGACACATGGGTTGCAGGGACGTGGGGGGACACACAAGGTAGGGGGGACACCCTGGCTGGGGGCAGGCAGGGCAGTGCCAGGGCCAGGCAAGCGTGGGCTGAGAGCTCCCACCCCTGGGCTCCCCGCTGGGTGCCCGCACAGCAGTGGCTGCTGCGGTGGGAGGTCACTAAGTTAATCAGCCTGCTTAGGCTAAGCTCCTTCCTCCGGCTGTTTTTGGACACTGCAATTTAGCAGTATTTTTAAATAAGCAGCTTAGACCGCGCCGGCCACGGGGGAGCCGGCAGGGAAAGGCTGACCCACACCATGGCGCTGCCAGGCCCCGCTGCCCCCCAACCACTCCCATGGCCGGGCATGGGCATCCACCCACTGCCCCGGTGGCCTCAGCATCCCCACGTCCCTCATTCTGCACCCTGAGTTGCACAGCCCCCATCCCAAATCCCATATCCCTGCATCCCAGTATTCAGCATCCTGCGTCCCGCGGCCCCACGGTGCAGGAAGCTGTTTTATTAAGCGCTCCATAAAAAAAAAAACAAAAAAACAAACCCTGCTGAATATTTAAAAAAGGAAGAGCAATAAATACTCTGCTCTGTTATCGCAACGATCGCGGGCCCTTAATAATTGATCCCTGTAACCGTGAGACGTGCCGCAGCCGGCGCTGCCTTCCCACTGCGCCGTGCCGATGGGCACTCCCGGAGTAAAGGTCCGGGGTGGCAGTGGGGTGGGCAAAAAAAAAAAAAACAAAAAAACAAACCCTGATGAATATTTAAAAAAGGAAGAGCAATAAATACTCTGCTCTGTTATCGCAACGATCGCGGGCCCTTAATAATTGATCCCTGTAACCGTGAGACGTGCCGCAGCCGGCGCTGCCTTCCCACCGCGCCGTGCCGATGGGCACTCCTGGAGTAAAGGTCTGGGATGATGGTGGGGTGGGGTATGGGGGTCGTCAGGGCCACAGGCAGATATTCAGCCCCCGATTGCTGTTTTCTACTAATTGGGAAGGGTTTAAGCCACTTGGAAAAACGCTGGTAAACTGCTTTGCCAGATGGCTGTGACCCCACGCCGGGCTGCCGGCTGCCAGGGACCCCACCGGCCGGTACGAGGGTGGGCCAGGAGCACCAGCATCCCATGGTGGCACCCGGGGATTGGATTTCGTGGCTGTAACGGAGCCTCCGGGCGGGCGCGGGGCCGGGAGCGGGGCCAACGGTAAATAATTCAGGGAGAAGGCGGTGACGGCAGCGGAGCAACCCCGGTGAGAAGTGGGAAACCATGGTGGCACCCGGGGATTGGATTTCGTGGCTGTAACGGAGCCTCCGGGCGGGCGCGGGGCCGGGAGCGGGGCCAACGGTAAATAATTCAGGGAGAAGGCGGTGACGGCAGTGGAGCAACCCCGGCGAGAAGCGGGAATGCCAACGTGGGAGGGCTGCCACCAGCGCCACGCCACGCCGGGGCTGACACCGCAGGCACCGGGCCGGGCTGGGGGACACGGGGGTTAATCCCCACAGGTTCCCGGGGCTGAGCTGGCACCTCTGGGGCAATGGGATAAAGAGCTGGGGCTGGGGAGGCTGTGGCCGGTGAGTGCCACGGGGGTACAGGGCGCCTGCCATGGGCTCTGTGGCCCTGCCTGGTGGGAAGGATGGGGGGGTCTGGCACCCAGCGGCAGAGGAGCACTGAGCCCTGTTCAGCTCCTGCTGCCTCGGGACTCATAAAATCATAGAATGGTTTGGGTTGGAAGGGACCTCAAAGATCATCAAGTTCCAGCCCCCCTGCCCTGGGCAGGGACACCTCCCACCAGAGCAGGTTGCTCAAGGCCCCATCCAGCCTGGCCTTGAACCCCTCCAGGGATGGGGCAGCCACAGCTTCCCTGGGCAACCTGTTCCAGTGTCTCACCACCCTCAGAGTAAAAAATTTCTTCCTGAGATCTAATCTGAATCTTTTTTTCTTCCAATTTAAAACCGTTTCCCCTTGTCCTATCATTACCCTTCCTGGCAAAGAGTCCCTCCCCAGCTCCTCTATAGGCACCCTTCAGACTCCCTGGATGTGGGGGAGCCACGCACCCCACTCAATTCCACCCCAAGCGTGGGCAGCCAGCGCGTCCCCCGGGCTCCCCCTTGGCAGGAGCCGTGGGTTATTTCCAGCACCCTCTGCCCACTGCAGGAAATCAGATTAGGGGCCGCCTGATCGCCCAGGGCAAAGCCTGGCTCCGTGTGCCCGGTGGGTGCCGTGCCTCCTACCCCGGGCACCAGCCCAGCCCCGGTACCGCTCGGGAGGCGAAACGGGGAGGCTGCCGTGGTGGTGCCGACCCAACGGGGGGCTGCAGCCTCCAGCGATGCCCACGGTCCCGGGCAGGATGGTGGCCTCCGGCGGGGTAGCGGCCTCTCCTCGGCGGGCAGCCTAATCCATTTACATAACGGTGGCAGACAAAGGCTGCTGTGTTATCGCCCTGCGCCAGGAGCCCCAGGAACCGACCGGCAATATTTCTGCCAGAGCTCTCCTCTCTCCTCCTCGCCCTTTCTCTCCGGGCCATAAAGAAGGTGCAGCTGGCTGCCCGGCCTGATAACACAGCCGCGTTGCCCTTGGAGCCGGAGGACGAAGGTGGCTGCGGGCACCTTGCCCAGCAGCTGGAGGGAGAGAGAGAGAGGATGGCAGCGGGCACCCTGCTCCCATGCCGGCCCTTCTCCTGCTTGGTGGGCCCCAGCGTGGAGCCCGTTACCTTGGGCAGTGTCCCAAAAGGAGTCGCAGGGAAGGGAAATCCCCTTTGGCTGCAGCGTAGTGGACGGGCAGCGCTCCCGTGTCGGTGGCCGCTGTGGGGTCGCTGCCCCCGAAGCGAAGGAGCCAGTCGATCACCTCATGGTGACCGAAACGGGCTGCCAGGTGTAGGATGGTGGCACCGGAGTTGTCTGTGTCCTGCAGGAGGAAGCGGGGCGGCCGTCGGCACCGGGGGAGCGTGTGTGGGACTGTGGGTGGTCCTGGGGATTTGGGGGGGGGGGATGGCCACGGCAGGGGTCCTGTCTGCACAAAGCAGGGCCAGAGGGAGGGGATGGGCCACCGGCGGGGGCTGTGGGGCAAGCGTGGCTGCCCTCTGCCAGGGGCTGCATCCACAGGGGGTGAGCGCTGCACAAAGCCCCCCTTGTTCTGCCGGCGGCGGGCAGCCCCTACCCACGGGGGCTCGCCGTGGAGCCCCACTGCACCCCACCCTCCGCCCTCGGTGGGGTGCAGGCAGAGCTGGCTCCCATCCAGGAAGGCACCGCAGCCTGCTGACCCCGTCCTTCCCGCTTAATCCCGGCCCCTCCGCCGCCTCCTCCTCCTCCTCTTCCTCCTGCCCGTCACATGTCGTTAGCTCTCGGCCGGCCCCCGGGGGCAAGCCGCTTACCGCCCGGTCCCGCCGTTGTGTAACCCCGGGAGGGGCCGGCAGCCCCGGGCACGGCCCTCGGAGGTTCTGTGCCCCCCTTCGGGGCTGAGCCTCGCCGAGATGTCAGGCCCTCCCCCCCGGGCCCCCCGGCTCCGCACGGCTGGGTCCTGCCCGTGCTGGCCGGGATCCCGGCTCGCCGGTGGCAGAGGGGGAGGGTTCCAGCGCCCCCGTCTCCCCGCAGCCGACACCGGTCTCCCGCG